TCTCTCTCTCTCTCTCTCTCTCTCTGTCTCTCTCTCTCTCTCTGTCTCTCTCATCTCTTTCTTTCTTTCTTTCTTGAAAAAAATTGAGGTACAATTGACGTATAACATTATATTACTTTCCAATGTACAGAATAATGATTTGATATTTGTATATATTGCAAAATGATCAACACAGTAAGTCTAGTTAACATCTGTCTTGGTTTGTAGCTTCAAATCATACAAACTGGGTTGACAGAAAACCATCCTAGACTTACTTAGTGCCCTGTAGGTCTAGACTCTTCCTCCTTACTTCTTTGTCTCTGTCAAATGCTATGTGACAAGTAAGGAGAAAATCACTGGGATGTGCTACAAATTAAAATCTCAAAATGTACTTGGAATCTATATATTTATGTTTTTTTCTTGTCTTTTATTATCACATATTTATTATGTGCCAAACACCATGCTAGTGCCTTTAAATACACCACCATTTATCTCTCAAAACAATCCAATGAGGAGATAAATTTCTGGCTCTATAATAGGCTAGGAGCCTTGACTTAAAATACCTTGAAAAACTTAAAATTGTGGACTAAGAAATCTTCTTAAGTGAGTCAATGACTCGGCAGGAAAGTAGGAATGCTAAAATTAAAGACTAAGTTAAGGCAAGAACCCAAAGAGTTAAGGGGAGTACTGAAGCCAACTTTTGCCAAATCCAGTGAACTTAAACTTTAGTAGCACAGCCTCAGTAAGGCCAGCCAAGGTGAGGACTCTAGCAGTAGATCCTCACATTCATCTGAAGCCTTCAGGGAGAGTGTAAACTAAAAATAAACCCAACTCTCCCCTAAAGAAATGCAAGTAAAATTGCCTGTCTTTAAATTTGGTGCAGGGGAAGGGAGAAGTGGGGGAAGTCTCTCTTGAGAAATAGCTTGTAACCACAACAATACTTTGCATGGTTTGCAGGCCCAAATCATAGCTAATTCTAAAGACCTCAAGCTAATCATTAAAAAAAAAATCCTCCAATTGTAATGCCTCCATATGCTTAGTCAAAACATGCAAATCCAAGAAACTTCTACAGACAACATCACAAGAAAAATAAATTCATAGCCATAAGTCTCAATCACAAATGGAAACAGACACTAAGAATGAAAGCCATCAAGAAGCAAAACGAAACAAAATGCAGGATTGGATCACCAAAACTGTAGGTATTGGAATTATCAAATATAGAATGTAAAGCAAGTAGGTTTAAATGTGTGTCATAGCTTTATGGTTGTCCATTAATATCCATTCTCCATCTTTAACGATCTCAAGTTTTAGTTGAGCACATGTCCACCCATCCAGAGAGTATATTTCTTAGTCTCGAAGTTTACTGTACTCATGTGACCATTGTCTGCCTATGGTATGTAGGCAGACAACTATAATCTCTCATGAAGTTAAAAAACAAGATGGAATTAAAATACTTGATAACATTAGGGTATGAGTTGAGAGATGGGTAATAAGTATTAGTGTTTCAAGTTCCTTGTATTGTTTTGAAGAAGAGTAAAAATATTAATTACATTTAGATTCTGATAAGTTAAGTATGCATGTAAATTTTGTTTTTTAGGATAACCTCTAAAAGATGCAACCTGAACTTGAACTCAGGACCTCTGCCTCACACAATTCTAGATGAGAAAAAGGTTTCTTTCTTAGAATGCTATTGGCTTTTCAGTGACAGAATAGAATTTTGGGGAGTCCAGGACTCAACCTATTACTGACTGACCCCTTATGCTCAGCCTCAGGAACTGCCCATCACAGCCATTGATTAGATCCATGCCTAAGCCTTTCCCAGCACATCTGGTCTCTTCCTGACTCTCAGACTCACTCATTCCAAGCTCTTTCATGTCTCTAGCTCCTTCCTGCTTGCCAGTTTCTTTCTAACAGGCCTTACGTGTTGGGGATGCTCATTCATCTACAAATAAACTATCTGAGATGTCGCCTCTTCCACGAAGCTTCTCATTGACAGGAGAATGGAGAGCTGACTTCTGTCACGCAGACTATGTATGGAACTCCCATCAATCCCACCCCTCTTGCCCTGGTCACAACATGCCTTCCCCATGAACTCCCAAAACCTTTTACTCACTTGGGTTTGCTCAGTCATGCTCATTTAGCTGACCGTGTGTCCTTCCTGCTGCTATCTCCATGTCCAGACCCAGCGTGAAGCTCCTGGAGGACTCGGACTGTAGATCTCCCTCCCCCAACAGACTTGAAATCTCCTAATGTGGTCCTGAGGTATACCCTACCGAGAGACGCTTCACTGAGGTTTATGAGAAGGAACATCTGTAGGATCCCAGGATGGAAAAAGCTCCTATGGAACCCTCTGCAAAACAAGCAAGAAGGGAAGTCCTATGGTTGAGGGTCATAAGGGAGCCCTATACCATCCCTTCACCTGCTGAGTCTGACAGGTGGTTTGCTCTTGCACTCTCCTCACACCCTCAGCCCCTAAGCCTGAGAGACCCCAAAGATGGCTCCATTACTGCCTGGATCTCTCGTCCCCTGTCCATTTAATGTGCATTGTTGAGTGTCTACTGCACACCCAGCAGTGCTCCATTGGTCTTCTGCCCATAATCCAAGAACCCAGATCCCTTGTTACTGCTTTTTTTTTTTTGAGTCTCATATTTCTGTTTGCTTGAGAGATGTGGGGTCCTTCCCCCTTAGCTCAGTCCATTAGGGGTTCTTCCTTGCTAAAGCAGACACACAGGACTTCCTGACTAGGAAACAGAGTCATGAAGTAGAACAGGTTTCTGACCCCATCCCTGCCTCAGAGGGTGGGTCCCTTCCACTCTGACAACCTTGATCTCCTTATCCCATTCTACTTCCTGCCACAACCCAACCCAGTGCCCTGTCTAGTGTGATCATGTCATTCTCCCTTTTCACCCTTCTCTTGACCCCTAGTTTATTTCTTCCCAGGCTCAGTATTGTTTTGTTAGCTGCTCACAGTTGACAGAAGAACAAGTCAACTTCCCAACTCCTCCCAACCCATATGAAGCTATAAAGGCGCCTTCATCTATTCCATGATAAAGAAAGAGGCAACAACATTGCATGGAGGAAGCTTAAGGAACCCAGGCATCCAGTCTCTCACCCCCTCTCACCTCCCCAAGCTCAAGGATCTTCCCAAGAACACATACTTAAGAGACCCAAGCTCCTGGAAGCTCCAACCTTTATCTCTTCACCTTGAAGTCTCCTTTCTGAGGAATACTGCTCTTTGCCTTCTAGGTCTTGGTCACGTCTGGGATCCAGGCATCTTGCTTTCCAGCCACCCAAAGGCAGTTCAAGATGCAGAAAGGAAACATTCTTCTTAAGTACTGGTTATTATTGCATCTCCTACTTTTAGAACATGGTGAGTGATTTTCTTTAAAAGTGGGTGATCTGAGAACTTTTGGAGATCTGAGGAATTGTGGAGATGGTGACCACTACTTGACTAGCTCTGGTTCTCCTCCAGAGAGTGAGGATTATCATTTTACTCCAATCGTTTCAGTCTAATAATGTATCACCAGGGAGGCAGTCAGAGCACAGTGGTTAAAACTGTGGACTCTGGTCTCAGATTGCCTACATATGAACCATGGTGCCATCTGTTACTTGTGTACTTTGGGTGAGTTGTTTAACTTCTCTGTGCCTCAGTTTCTGCTTCTATAAAATAATAATAGCCTGTGTGATATAGCTGGGGAATTTAATAGCAAGAATAAGAAGAGTTGACTATTTTAAAAAATATCACTCATCTACGTCCTGTAAACTTAATTTCCTGCCTGTTCCTAACCCTGATTCCACATCAACCTAAGTTAGCCTCAGACCAAGGAGAATCGGATTCAAGAGGCAAAACTGACCCCCACCCTGTTTTCACACCCCTGGCACTCAAACGCTCTGTGGGACCATCTCTTATTGCATACCTGGAGAGCATCTCTTCTTAGAGAATTCAGCATTTTGAATCAAATTTAGCCCTCTTCTAATTTTGACTCATCTGTTCTCCAAAGCTTCTTAGATCAAATCCAGTCTCTCACATATAATTTCTATTTTGGTCATCTCACTTTCCTATTTAGTTTTACTCATGATTCTGATCTTAACCCCAATTTGTACCCTGTTGCAGAATTTGGGGATCTTCCCAAAATAGAGTTACATTCTAATCCTATGTTAGTTCAAATAAGACTGAGGAAAAAATACACGTGAGCAGAGTGAGGTGATAGACACCCCTGTCCCAGTTAGTAGTAAAATGAGCCACAATGAAATAAATACAGGCTTTGGGGAGCCTGAGTGTCTTTGTCCCTCAGGGTAGTGAGGAGTGAAAAAAAATAGGCACGACCTGAACTCTAGCTGAGCCTCCAAGAAGGTTGAAAAGCTTCCCTGTACTGTAGGCCTTGATTTATAGCCCTTAATCCTGGAAGATCTTATATATTTAACCTGCATATACTTGTTCTTCTCCAGCCTCTGCCATAGTGCAGGGGTCCCTGGCACTTTAGTGCACATAGACTTGCTAGCCCCTTTAGAAAAGGCAGATTCCTGGGTCCATCTCAAACTCTGACTCATTTAGTCTGGAGTGGTTTGTGTAGGCATCTTTATTTTCAACAAGCTCTCCAGGTGATCCTAATGTAGGTGTTTTCTGAATAACACTCTGAAAAATATTTTCCAAGAAGGGAACTTTAAGAATGAATTAATATATACTAGTTTTATGTGGGTCCTACAATTTCTTTATGATACATTTAATCTGTATTAGATCTTGTATAGCAAATTTTGGAGTAAGCTTACTGCCAATGAAACTAGGTTGCATAACCCTGGTGTTGGGGGCGGGTGGGAGAGTGATTTAGCATGGTACCTAAGAGTGTAGATTCAATAGCCTGGGTTCAAATTCCTGTATACTACTTAACAGCTGTATAAACTTGGGCTAGACTCAACATTTCTAAGCCCTAATTTTAGCTGGTGATATCATCTTAGCTGGTGATAATAATAGTATCTATTTCATAGACCTGTATGAGCATTAAATATAATTATTTATGTAAGGACTTTAATCAAATGTTGAGCAGAAAGTATATATTTGCCATCATTTGTCATTATCATAAGGTGTAACCTCCAGTGATAGTAGCACACCTGTCAATACTAGGTCCAGTGTAGCCTCCAGTAGGATTAGTACAGCCTCCAAAACTAAACCCAACTCAACTGCAGGTGGGACCAGGTCAGCCATCAACGCTGAATCCAACACAGCCTCTGGTGGTATCAATACAGCCTTCAGTACTGGATCCAGTGAAATCCCTGGGTTGTCCAGCACAACTTCCAGTACTGGATTCAGCACACCTGCCAACAATGAATCCAGCATGACCTCCAGTGGGACCAACACAGCCTCCAGTACTGGATCAAGTGTGACTCCCAATGGGATTAGCACACCTGCCAACACTAACTCCAGCATAACCTCCAGTGGGACCAGCATAGCCTCCAACACTGGGTCCAGTGTGACCTTCATTGGAACCAGCACAACCTCTAACACTGGATCCAGTGGGACCTCCAGTGGAACC